GACGGCCGTGCGGTGCGGCGCGGTGCGGTGCGGGGCCGGGCGGGCGGACGTGCAGCGCGCCTGGAGACGTTAATGCCTCCGGAGCCGTGAGGAGGCCTGACCTCCGCAGGGCTCCCGCGTACGTGCGGCGTTCATAAGCCCCCGCCCTCGGCCTGAGGGGAGGGTCGGGGACCCGGCCGCTCTCCCTCCCCTCCGCTCAAGGAGAGCTGCGGGGGACAGCTCCGGGGGAGGTAACAGCCTGCCCCGGGCTGCGTTCACTCACAGCCGCCTTATGCTGGGGGTTCAGGTGAAGCAGGAGCTCCAAAGCTCTGTGCGCAGGAAGGGCTGGATGTGCTCTGCCGCCGGGTTCGTCCCCGCCCGTGAGTCGCCCGGCCGGCTCCGCGCTGGAGAGCGGCCTGGCGGGGGCATCCGACCCAGCCGGCGTCCGCGCTGGCAGCGGGGCGCTGGGGGTGCCCGGGAGCCGTCGGCTGGAAGAGGAGGGTTTTTCCCAATGTCAAGAGCTTAAATGGCTTGTTAAAGTCGGGTAGAAACACTTCTAGAAAACCTGTAGAAAGAATGTGGGTTTTTTTTGTTGTTGTTGTTGTTGTTTTTTTCCTGCCGTGTAATGTTTGGGTAAGCCCTCAAGAGAGCTGTGGAGCTTCAGATGTGTCCTTTAGTAAAACAAGGGAAGTCTTGGGTGTTGTTCATGGTCTAAAAGCTATTCAAGTGGGGGCGGCTTTTTTTCTAAAAATAATGCATCAGTAGAACACAAATAGCTGAATTCTGTTACCTAAATAACAGTAAAAGTGGCAGCGCGGTTGTATTTCTTCAGTTAAAATTAATGCAAACATTAAGATGTTCAGCTGAATGCTGTTATTTTTAGGTCTCTGAGGTTTTGTCATAAACATATTAAAAATGTGATAAATCCCTTCAGAGAGAGGCTCAGAGGCTCAGTTTTGCGAAAAATGAGGATTGATTTTAAAAAAAAATAATCCTATTCAGAAGCAAAAAATACCAACCATTAAAAGATTGCTGTGTTCTAAATGAAGGAAAAGCTTAATCTTTCAGCACATCACACTGAAGGAGTAGATTTTCTGAGACTTAAGCTTAAAATGCATTTTTGGTCTACAGTTTGAAACATAGGCAGCAATTGAATTTGAGGCTGCATCAGCAGTGGCAACAGCTTTCCAGCACTGCCTTTCTTGTGTACAGTGTCTGCCGCTCTCGTTCCCCAGACAGATGCTGAATTCCGTAATGTTGTGAGTGGGTGACCTTGATACTATCACTGAACTGTGATTTCTTAAAGACGCTATGATTAATGTGACAAGTATTCCAGCTGTTGAAGGCAGGTCTATAAACATTAATTTCCCAAGTGTTAGAAAGTTAAAGCTTGATTATCATGATGCCTGCTTTGTCCCAGGGGATTTCCCAGCTTAGTTATTTGAAAAGATTTTTTATTTCTCAGGAACTTCATTTCTGCTGGATTTGTGTGTTTGGTTTTTTTTGTTTTGTTTTGTTTGTTTTTACTGTCTCTATTAGAAATCTGATTTTATGGTGTTCTGTCCTGGTGTTGAGAAGTGAAAGGGGAATCTGCAAGTCAGAGGAAGCAGTTATTTCTTTGTGGCTTGAATCTGTGCTATGTTGGGTTATAGTAATAAAACCTCTTTTTTGCAACTGTCATTGTAGCATGGGAAGTAGTGAACAGCTGCTAGCATAACTGAGCTGCTGCTGACCACTTCTCAAAATCCTTTGCTGAGACCCCAGGTTATGGGAGAGATTTTAACGTCTTAATTTTAGCAGAAGTTTGTGGTTCTGTTACCAGGATAAGCTGCAAAAACAGTTATTTAAATTGCATTTTTCTGGATCCCTGTTGGTTTTTGTGGATTTGAGTTTGTTTGAGTAGGATAACATGCAGCTGTGCAAAATACTTGATCACAGGACATTGAGGTCAAAGAGTTTATAGAGGAAAACAGCTGTATAGGGTAGTGCACCAATATTTGATACTTTGCTCTACACAAGTGGGGATATGAATAGATTTGATAAACCTTGTAATTTATCAGTGTGTTTCATTTCAACCACTGTGTTGCTGCTGTTTATCTTTGATAATAATTTGGATAACTCTGCCTTAGACTGACAATTCACTGTTATTTACATAACAAGCTTGTATTTGATTGCATCTCTGATAACTAGTTATTTTTTATTATAAACACTTCTGCTTAGATGAGCTGACATGGTTTAAGCTGTTTTGGATAGTTCTTGTGGCCTGGGACACATCTGATTAATTTTGTTGTTGTTAACAAGAACTTTCAGTAACTTTTTTTTTATGTAGTGTCTGAAATTTTGCTACTTTTATCTGCAATGTAGAAGTATAAACTTCCTTTGCAGTGAGGGATTCTAGGACAGGTCTGTGAAAGAGAAGCTCATTTCATCAGGAGGTAGTCTGTGGTTAGGAGGAAGTATTCAGCTGTTGTAGGCAACCAGTTCAAATATTTGTGAAATTCAGAAGCTTGCTGAACGTTGTAGCTGGTCTTTATTGACAACATTAAAAGAAATGTATTTGACACATTTCATACTATGAAAGGATGTTACTATCGTTTTTTTTTAATTTTCAGGTGTTATATTACTATTAACAATTACTTTGCTTGCAGCCACACTGGGAAGTGTTGGGAAGAATACTGAAATCCTGAGTTTAGAACAGATGGAAGAGTAGACCTTCCCTCCCGGCCCGATAAGGATATAAAGTTTATCGTGAGGAGGATTTCAGTTATTTGGTGTGTTTTTATGAAAGTAAACTTAGTGATATTCTGGGGGGTAAAACTTTGAATTATTATTTATGATGGATGACACTGAAACACAAGCTTATCTGTAATGTAGTATTAAAAGTAGGTTGTGATACAGCCGCCAGGTTGTACAGACTGTCACCTGCTTTCTGGGAGCCCATAAACAGGGAGGAGGCTGCAGGCTGGGTGGGTTGGTGTCGATGGGCTGCAGCTCCTGTCTTGCTCCTTGCCGTGTGACTGCGTGCCCAGGGCTGTACCGCGTTGGTGACTTAAGGCTGCTGCATGTTTGGTGGTAGGAAGCTGTGCCATGTGATGTCTGTGCTTTGATCATCTGTCACGTAGTTCCCTAGGCCCATAGACAGCCTTGCTAGTGAAGGGAAAAAGGCAGGAAAAAAACATTTTGGTATTTTTCTGTTTTCCATGACCCTTAGATTACCTTAATAGTTATAGACAGTGTTGTTTACCAAAATACACTGCTAATGGTAATGATAATGCAAATATTGAATAACTTACTGTTTACATTGTAGTGTTTATCAGTACAATGTAAATGCAGTTGCAACATATGTTTCCCATGAGTTTTATACTTAATCTGACCTCACATTTCTGTCAACGACACAGTATTTGCAATGTGGGATAAGCTACCTTGTGTTAGGGTGACGCCCTCAAGCTCCTTCAGTAAAGCAAGAAAACATATGAATTGGTGTCAGTGTATTTTCCTAGAATTTTTGCATGGGATGTAATACAAGGATTTTTTTTTTTTTTAAACTAATAAAGGGTTTTTGTGGCATTTTATCTGGACAGGAGGGGAAAGCAGACAGATGCTTGTGAGTGCCCCATGGCTGCAGCTGCCTCAGTTCATTCATTTATTGCCTGTTGTAACTTGGAAGCATTCTTTAGGTAAGAAAGCCACTTCAGAATATGTTGTGTGGTTTATAAACTTAATACGCTTCTGTATTGAATCTTTAAATTGTTTTGCACTCTGAATTACAATGTTACTTATATGTACTGTTTATATGTGTCATTATAAACCTATCTTTTATGTGTTAGAAACTGACAGCACTTTTGCAAATTAATTTTTTGTGCCATACACTGTTAGCAAAGGGACAGTCTGCTCGCTTGACAGAACATCTACTACTTGTAGACTGCATGCAATACAAGGCCACCATAAATTAGAAACTTCTTCAGATGCCATCTACGAACAGAGTTACTAATATGTATCAACTTTCTAATTATAGACAAGCATAACTGTGCAGCTCTTAAATTTTCTGATGTGTGAGCTGAGCAGCAACATAACTTGCACAGATTTCAGTACTTGAGTTTGATTTTGCTTAGGACATAGGGGCAGCTTCTTGCATTGTATTCATAATTAACACATGTACTACACCTATGTTAAACTTTACAAGTTATAAAAACTTATAAAGCTGATATTAACTGGTTAGTTAGTCAAAAGATGATGATATGGCCTGGGAGAATCTAAAGCCTCGTGTCTCCCATCCTTTAAAGAAAAAAAAAAAAAAGTTCAGTGTTGGAAGGTTTCTAAAGATGTTACTGCTGGTTGAACACAATACTTTGTAAACCTCTTCAGTTTTTAAACTTACTTTTTCATTTCAAATGTTTCATGATTTAGTAAGATGTGTGTTGCCGTTCCTATAGCTTTCCATTAAACCATCTTCAAATAATGTAAAATGGGTGACTGAATTTGGAGGTTTTGGGTGTACTTTCTTATAGCAGACCAAGATACTCTTTCATATTAAGATACAGGTTAGTTTTTTCATATTCGTATATGGGAGCATATTCATACGTCACTGGTATCTTTTTTTCCCAGATAGAGTTTAATTAGCCAAAATAGTTTGTTTACTGTCAAGATTATCACGATGCAGTAAGTATACTTTTGGAGTAAAAGTGAGTAATGTTTAAAGCCGAGAGTCCTTAAATTTTAAAATATTAGAAGTCGTATCTTTAACTATTTTGATTCCTGTGGTTTTGGTATACAGTAAGCTGAAAAAATTAATGTTTCTTATCCAGGTTTGTAATATCTTTAAGTATTATTCAAGAATCCAGAGGTGTATCTGTTTTGCGTAATAGTACTGATGTGACTAAAATTGTAGATAATGCAAAAACCAGATTTGTGCCAACAATTACGCCTGCCCGTTAGCTAAACGATAGTTTTCAGGTAACGTTTGGTAAAACTAATTTACTTGACGCATTCCGTTGTTCTGTTTCCACATCTACCCTGGAGTGCGGAGTGTGCTATTCATCTCGGTCTTTGTTCCAAAACTGAGTTTAGCCCCTCCAGTGGGTCTCCCAGACATTGCAGAACAGTTTTTCTTTGGTTGGTGGCTTCACAGGGCAGTTCATCTTCTGGGACCAGTCCCTGCCTTCTGGTTAAGGAATCCATGCACACATACGGGATGACTCAACAGTGGGATGGATGTTCATATACTAGAAAGGTGCTGGTAACTTGACAGGAACTTCCACATTCTTTGCAGGTATGTATGCATGTAAACCTCTCATTATATACTACCTGGGTTATATCCCATGGAGCTATAATTTAGTTGTCTTTTAAAATACATACTGTTCCTAGTTTAAGTATTCAGAACGAAATAAGCATTTGCATTTTCACAGTAAATATTAGGGCTTCATGTTTGGTAAAAACTTTGTGATATATAACCAATGAAACCTTTTTCTGGCTTTGCATTCCACAGTGAGTAATATAATGTAATTTTGCTAGATTTAAAGTACTACAATATAGAATACTAAAAATAGAAATTCTAGATTTATCAGTTTTAAAGGGATGTAGCAACAAGAACAAGTTATGGCCACGTTCCATCAGTGCGAGTGTAGGTACTATGTATGCCATGCATACCTTGTCACATCTTCATACATCTGGACTGGATGTCTTGCATCTGGTCTATAGCCTGGCCTGTGGTTTAGGGAAATGGTGTCCTTTCTGGTAGTTCTCAGATGCCAAAACTTCTTTGTGGGAGCCAAGACAGCACCCATGAAGCTCAAGTTTCAAATAAGAAAGTGAAAATTTTTTTCAGAAACTTATATTTTACTGAGGTGTTGCAGATTTGCGTGAGAATAGCAAAAGCATAGAGAAGCTTCTCAGACAACAGCATTTGTTTTATTTTATATTTTGTTCTGGACTTTAGTTTTAGGAAACAGCTAAATTTGTAATTCTTCCTGGGGGGGGAAAGGCAAGTATTTGACTCAAGCTAAATTTAGCAAGGTTATGAGCAACTGGAAGAGAGAGTTGTGTAATGGTTAATTACTACATCCCCACATAATGCTTTGGAATGCCCATTCATTGTGTAACTTAAAGCACTCAAAAGTCATAAAACGTGGTCATGTCGATGATAATTTAAGAAAATGGTCTTGTAGCAAAATGTTTATTCATGCTGAGCTTGCATCTTCATTACATTAGTAACACTAATGTATTGTTTAGAAATACTGCTCTGTTTTGGAGCATATTGTTCTTCATTCTCTTTGACTTGCTGCCTTTGCACGTGCAAGGCACCTGTCTATTCAGGGAAGAAAAGCTGTTATTAAATATAATTTAAAGAGTGTTACTAGCTTATCCTTCTGCATATATCACCTATCGCTATCACAAATGGGACTTTAAAGAGACTAAGTGAAAATTTCTGAAGACTGCTAGAATAAATTCCTTGGTGGTTGGGATGATTTGTTTGGAGAACAAACAGTAGTGAAGCTGGTCATACGAACAGCTCTTGATTAATTGGCTAGGTTGTTCTTTCCTGCTTCTCAAAGAATGCACGTGCTTGCTTTTCATAAAAATGGAGTTACCCTTGCATGTCAGACACCTCATCAGCCATACACATCGGGTTTTATAAGTTGGGGAAAATGTTGGATAAGTTTTTGATAGGACAGTCTATATTTTGGCAGCTATTTCTGGATTTTGTTTTCTCCCCCCACCTAATGAAGATGGGGGGGGGGAGCAGATAAAACATGCTGTGAGGGTTGCTGTGGAAGATTGTTCAGTAAAAATAGATAACGTGTACTGTTCATTCTTGAAGAATGCCTGGTTGCTTTGAAAATTTTAGCTTCAGACTGGTTGGGAAGAGAGAAGGTCTGGCTGAACATCTAGTAGGACATTTGAGAAGGGGCCTCCTCCCACTGTAAAATGAAGTGGTGCTTGAAACAGTTAAGACAGTTGTTGAGAATTGACTGAATAACAGAATTCAGTCTAGAACGGACTTGAGTAGATTGCACTGCTTCAGCATGTGAAAGCAGAGCTTTTCCTTATGCTGCTCTTTTCTGAACTTTGGCTCATGTGGCAAATGTTCCTCAGCGAAGTAGTCATGCAGTTTGCTGTATTCTCTGAAAAATGGCATATGAACCTCACTTACTTTGCCCTGTTTTGATAAGTGACCTCTGAAGTTTTTTGTTGTTAGTTGTACAAACATTTCTTCCTCTGCCTGTCATGATTTAAAAAAACCCAAACAAAAAGCCAACAAAGCAAAGCAATGGGGGAGGTGGGCAAAACTTTTCAATCTGACTCCTCTGAATGAGTCTGCTCCAAGTTCATCAGTGTTTAAAAGGGGGTTTATGAATTGAGTTCTCTGGTTGATAAAATTCTTCTAGAAATCATGAGTAGATTCTGTAGTTTGTCTGCTGAGCTTAAACTTAGACAATTGGCTACTGGTAAACTAAATTGCTGTTAAATACTTCTTTGTTCTACAAAGTGCTTTATATACTAGGAAGTACTAACACATGAAGCTACACTTGCTAAATTAACAAACCCAAGCTCTCCAGATTCAAATCCAAGTTGTACAAAATAAAAGGTATCAAAAAAGAAGGTCCTTGCTAACGTCTGTTCACTGGATATTGGCATACGGGCATACCTTTTTTCATAGTAACGTGCTATATTTAAATTTTACTAACTTGTTATCTCTTACTGTGTTTTCATTACCTTCTCTCCCTTCCTCCTCTAATTGTCTGTATTTTTCTAGGGACCTACTGTATGTGAGACCTTTCAGGAAACTGTGCAGTTTGAATACATTGGATTGTTCCAGTACCTGAAACTTTCACGATGAAGAGAGCTAGGGAGAAAGCTGTGGTTGAAAATGAAGCTCCTCAAACATCGCAGAAAAGCAAAAAACAGAAAACTTGTTTATATGGCTCAGTGTTTGGTGAATCTGACTTGCACACCTCCATGGACTGGGGAAGCCTTCCGCACCACGTTATTCTGCGTATTTTTCAGTTTCTGCCTTTAGTAGATCGAGCCAGGGCATCTTCTGTTTGTCGAAGGTGGAATGAAGTTTTTCACATCCCAGACCTCTGGAGGAAATTTGAATTTGAACTTAGCCAGCCAGCTACTTCTTATTTAAAGTCTACGCATCCTGATCTTATTCAGCAGATTATCAAGAGGCACGCTGATCATCTGCAGTACGTCAGCTTCAAGGTAAGTCTTGGATGAATGGAGGCTTGTTTTGTCACGGCACTGTGCATAATGTATGCAGCTTCTCTATGTCAGTTGGCTCAAGTGCTGTACCTGGGAAGTCTTTATGTTTAAAAATGCAACCTCCGCAACAATTTATTTCCACACATGCACGCTGTCTCCTTCCAATGTCTACGCTCTAATCTCTACAAAGTAAAGAAAGATGTAATGTTAATGCAATACGGTGCTGAAGATTGAATGATATGTTTTCAGAATATGCAGAATACATACCTTCTGTAAATTGGTGTTAGTGGCAATCTGAGTACGCAGCAGGTTATTGCGCATAACAGTAAACTTGATTTAAATGAAGGCTATGTTTGTAATGTCAGGATTGCATAAAGGTGGACTTCTGTCATTTGAATACTTGATACAGTTTACTCTGTTTATCTGAGAAGATGATAGTTGGAATTACAGGTGCTCTGTTTGCTTTTGGCAGACGCTTCTCCTTGGAGGATTTCATAGTTCTAAGCTGTGAAGGAAAAGCAGAAGAAAGGATTGATGTTAAAGCTAAGATGAAAATCAGAAGCTTCTTTTTCTCAGCACTGGTAGCCGTTTTACGTTTGGAGATATCATGATTTGGTTGCACAGCAGTTCATGGATAATCAGTTATTAAATACTTGTAACTTCTGTACTTCATGTAACTGATTATAGTGAATTGGCATTATAATGTAATTTGTTACAGTTGTTTCGGAAGGAATGAGGTTATTTGAAAACAAGTCTTAGGTTTAAGCTCTCTGTTCATATCGGAAATACCCAGTGATCATACTCAGAAAAATTTTCTAATAATAACTTTCCTGAACTCTTTTCTTGTCTTGAAATTTCTAATTAATGTTGCGTTTTGTCCTTTTGGTAAATGCAGTCTGGTGCAGTACAGTAAAGTGGATGTGGACCTTCCACTCTTGGGTATCCATGATGCTGTTTTCTAAATAATAATAAAGAATGGCTTCATGATTTTTAAATTGCTTTTATAGGTTGATAGTAGTACTGAGTCAGCGGAAGCAGCCTGTGACATCCTTTCTCAGTTGGTGAACTGTTCTATCAAGACACTGGGTTTGATTTCCACAGCAAAACCAAGCTTCATGAATGTCTCTAAGGTAATGTTCTACAAACTGTAACTAGAGTGATTTAATTCACTCTTAAACCACTTTAGCTTTCTTATTGTGTTGTTATTCAGTTGATGGTAATTTTTATGAAATGGTCTATATTTATTGGCATATCTTCTTAAATTTGTGGCATCCATTAGCATTAGGAAAATAGTTAAACGTTGATTCCATTCACTACATTTAGTAGTGTTGATACTTTGTGGTGTAGAGATGGGGAATCATTTAGAAGACTTGAGTTTCCTTATTTCTAGATTAAAAGATACAGTGATCATGTGCTGCAACATATTGTTAAATTATTTGGGAGATTTTTTTTTTTTCTTTGACTCCATAGGTCACAGCAGAGTTAATTTCTGGAAAATAAATGCCATTTCCTTTTTTCTGCAGATAAATTCTAGATACTTCTGGCTCATCACTATGTCCACGTATCCCTGTTTTATTACAGTGAAAAGATAAATCAGAGTGGATAAGTTAACTACTGAATGTAAAGTTATTTTTTGTCACATGCAGCAGTGTATTTTTAAACAAAGATTTCCTATGTTCAAATAAGCCTTTCTTTGTTACACAAGAAAGGGGATGCCTAAGAATTGATATTTTTGTACTTTCTGTGCATGTAAAACCTGAGATTTAGATGCTGAAGTTCTGCCTATCTTTTCATAAGATTTTTTCCCCTCCTTCAATTTCTCCAAATAGGCTCATTTTGCTTCAGCACTGACAGTAGTTTTTGTAAACTCCAAGTCATTATCGTCAATCAAGATAGATGACACACCACTTGATGACCCTTCCTTGAAGGTTCTTGTTGCTAACAATAGTGATACTCTAAAACTGCTAAAAATGAGCAGCTGTCCTCACGTATCACCTGCTGGTGAGTAGTGAATATATATGAAAAAATGTAGTAGTAAAGTATCGTAAAACTATAGTCAAGACTAGTTTGAAACAAGTTATTGATAAAACTTCTAGTGCTTTTCTGAGTCTCTTAGCAGAGGCCTTTTATTGACCTAGTCTTGGCTTTGGAAGGGGAAGAATCATAGAATCATTAAGGTTGGAAAAGACCTCTGAGATTGAGTCCAATTGTTAACCTAACTGCCTGGTCAGCCTCTAAACCATGTCCCTAAGCGTCACATCCACATGTTTTTTGAACACTTCCAGAGACTGTGATGGCACCACTTCCCTGGGCAGTCTGTTCTAATGCATAACCATTCTTTCTGTGAAGAATTTTTTTCCTAACATCTAATCTAAATCTCCCCTGGCATAACTTGAGGCCATTTCCTCTCATCCTGTTGCTTGCTACCTGGGAGAAGAGACTGACCCCCACCTCACTACATCCTCCTTTCAGGTAGTTGTAGAGAGCGATAAGGTCTTCCCTGAGCCACCTCTTCTCCAAAGTAAACAACCCCAGCTAAATAATGTCTTTGTGTTACTGAATGAGTTGGATTAATGAAGGTGGAGGTGCTCCTCGCTTGACTGCATCTTCTGGAATCCTGGGGTTGGTTTGGTGTTTTGCACATTCTTCTCAGCTGCTTCAGTACCTCTGGTGATAGGTGTTGAGGAAGAAAAGCCTCCAAAATTAGTGCAAGCCTTTAACACACGATCCAAGGACTTGATGCTCATTGCCAGTTCTGTGTAAAGGTAGCCAAATGTGTGCTGCTTAACGTGTGCAACTCTGTAAACTTAACTAAGTGGCACTCTGCGGGAACACACATGCAAAATCCCTGACCCATGAATCAGCTACTGGTTGGTGGGATAAAGGAGATGAAAGCAGTTGTCAGTAACTGTTTCGCAAGGTGCTGTGAGTTTAACTTACTGAGCAAAAGTGTTAATACTTCAAAGTTATATTAAAAAAACATGGAGTATATACAAATTTCAAAAACTAGTAGTGTAAGACACTGAGTCTTTCGGTTTCTGTAGTGCCCTCGTGTGTCCAGATCTGGTAGTATGAACTTGCTCGTTTTAGCATTGGTTGGTGAAGTGTACGCTCCCTTCAAAATACAGGCTTGCCAGAAAGTTCAGAGGGCTTTCGGGTGCCTTCTCACTTACCTTTCTCCTGAAACCCTGGTGCTAAGGAAAGGGAATCCTGGTCTGGTCTCTTTCCTATATTCTTATCCAGAGTCTACAAAAGGTGACTTAATCTGCGTACTTTGTATTCCAGCAGATTAAGAGCAGTTATGTTGTTTATGCCTTAATTCAGGGAAGCGTCTGTTTTAGCATAGCTCTTAAACTAGGCTGCTGGTGGTCACTTAAATAGACTGCTTAGATGAATGCTGAAGGAAGGAGTATTAGGGAACGCAACAGTGGCAACTTCAACTGGATCTTACCTGATTTCAGTTGCCTCCTCAAAGCTGAGGAAATTCTGCGCAGGGAAGGGCAAAGAGGAAGGAAGATATTCAGATCCAAGATGAATGCAGCTAGTTAGACTTGCTTTTTTTACTGATAAGTGTTTATGGCCAAAACCCATAAAAGGATGTGGGTATCTAGAACTGTATCATATTTCATGGTTTTTGGATATAGACATGAATACTCAAGCCAATAGAATTAGTACTTGCTTGAGCTTTGCAGCAAACAATTGTGCTTATATTCACTTTTCATTTTACAGAGTAAATTTTTTTTTTTTTTTTTTGTTCCTCAGGAATTCTTTGTGTTGCTGACCAGTGTCATGGACTTAAGGAGCTGGCTTTGAACTACTACATATTAAGTGACGAACTGCTGCTGGCTCTTTCAAGTGAAAAACATGTTGATCTTGAGCACCTTCGCATAGACGTTGTGAGTGAAAATCCTGGACAAGTTGAGTTTCACACTATTAAAAAGCAAAGCTGGGATGCTCTTGTTAAACACTCCCCCAAAGTCAACATTGTGATGTATTTCTTCTTATATGAAGAAGAATTTGATGCTTTCTTTAGAGAGGAAACCCCTGTTACACACGTTTACTTTGGTCGTGCAGTAAGCAAAGCAATGTTAGGTCGTATTGGCATGAATTGCCCAAGGTTAATTGAGTTGGTTGTATGTGCTAATGGACTTCAACCTTTGGACGACGAACTTATTCGGATTGCAGAGCGCTGTAAGAACTTAACAGCAATGGGACTTGGTGAATGTGAAGTAACTTGTAGAGGTTTTATTGAATTTGTAAAGATGTGTGGAGGCAGGCTTACCCAGCTTTCTATAATGGAGGAGGTACTGATTCCAGATAATGATTATAGCTTAGATCGACTTCATCTGGAAGTCTCCAAACACCTTGGAAGAATGTGGTTTCCAGATATGATGCCAACATGGTAAATTCTATACGTTTGTGGATAAAATGGTAGAATCAGGGTGTTGCTTTCTATGCAAATAAAGAATTTAAAAATGAAATATGAACACTTATTTCCAGATTTGAGTTTTTCTACCCTGAGAACCTCTAGTAGTGTAATGGCAAAACATTCTAGAATGTTAGTGTTATATTGAAATAGAAAATAGATTAAGTGTACTTAACACTTCTGAAAGTATGTCTGTGGTTTACAGGTGCTTCAAACTTCAGTGAACTTGGGCTTCTCTGAGCTTCAGTTTAAATGTTCCAGTCACATTAAAGATTTTTTTTTTTTCATGTCTTCGTTTAGTCTTTCCAATTGTCATGAGTGAGTGGTTAGGTCGCTTAAATAATCACTGTCAAAGATATTTGTAAAAGTGTTTTTAATAGAAATTTATAAAAGGGTGATTTAACAAAGTTTGATGGCAAGGTTCACTCTATTACTTATTAAATGAATGGAATAGAGAGAGAGAGAAAAGGGAAAGTTGAGATAAAAGAAAATACAGGGGCGGTAAAGGAGGCCCTCCCCTTGAGTCACAAGGTTCAGAATACCCCCTTGCGCTTCTAAGCTCCTTCTCAGAGAGGAGCCTAGATGTGGCTGGATCCAGTCCTAGTCTCAGACTTGGTCAACGGTTTATGTCTAAGGATTATATATGATTAGCAGCAGTTTAAGGTTTGTTCACAGTAAGGAGAAAATCACAGGAATTTAACAGTAATTAATCATTGGTTGATCTAGCATCTACAAAAGTGATTAAATGGGGTTTACTACAATATTTGAATCGATTCACACAGTAGGCCTAATAAGGGTACCTATTAAAACTTTCTTGGGTTCAGTGAAATGCAATATGCGCAGATAAAGCTACCTGGTAAAAAGTCCCCTCGAGTTCAGTGAAATACTCACTTAAATGATTGTCTCAACTGGCAAAAGTTGAGCTCAAGGAGGGAAAGGCGCCAGAGATCAGCCCAGGTCTTGTCGCCAGGCCTCTGTACGCAAACTTAGGAGTTTGCAGCTCTGAGAGGCGTCCCACTCGGAGGGAGATTCTGGCGCAGCCCGCTGCAGTCCAGGAGAGCTCAAAAGGTCTCCCTTGGTACCGCTGTTTATAGGGTTGTGAGATGATTGACTTCAGGCATCAGTGAATTTCCATTCTGGCCACAACTCTGGTTGGTAATTGCTGAGTTCTCATCAATATCGGCAAGACGGGTACGATCCTCCCGTACCCATCCACCTGAGTTACGATCGCCAGCGATATGTTCCCAAGCTGTCGGGCGGGTGACTGATGATGCCAGATGCAGTCAAGGCATTCTTGTTCCCCAGCTCAGCCGTGCAAGAGTGCCCAGCACGGCCAAGGGGCACTTAACCGCTGGACTCATTTCTCAAAGGCCAAGCCTTGACAGGAGTCCCGTGATCATAAAGTGGTCCAGAGGAAAAAGGAGGGGGTGTACCACCACACCGATGTAGTCAGCAAAAGACTAGAGAAATTTTCCCTTTAGCAAATCTAACTTTATGGGAAGCTGGATACAACTTGGAGTTCAGGAAAACCATATTATTTGTTATGATGTTTTATGCAGCTGTTTTTCAAAATATTCATGTTATAAATGTAAAACCTTGTACATTAATAGAGTAGTCCAGGTTACTCAGATATAATCTAGCTTAAACTTATGCCAGTATATTAAAATGTTCTGGTAAATAAACTTACGCTTACCAAAAAAAATTCCAGTTTTAAATTGCACTTTAAATAATTTTGTCAGATTAGCTGAACTGTAGAGACTGCATTGTACAGTATGTTGTTTTTCTGTCTTATGCATTAAATGGATGGGAAAGAGACCTTGTTAAAATGAATGAATTGAAAAGTTTGGATCTAGATTGATTGCTTGGGTGAATGACAAAGCACTTTGGAAAATGCCAGAGTGTAAGGAATAGCTTCTGGGTTTGAGAGAGTTCAAGTCTTTGATTATAGAGATTGATGTCTGAATGCTGTTCCGTGCTTTCATTATTAAGAGATAAGAAGGATCTCATAAATGTGGCTAGTGAGAAGGAAGGATCAAATGGAATACAGTTGTCTTCGATCACTTTCTGGCTGGAATTAAGGGTTTGGAGCACTTAAGAAAAAAAAAAATTGCCAGTTAGAGGCCAAAATGGCCTGTAGTAATCTTGTCTGTATCTCACAGAGCTGTGCTGTAAGCCCTGATTTCTAGAGTCAGGATTGCTGGAGGTGATCCTGAAATTTTTAATTCAGGACTGTTTAATACTTGTTGGTATTAATTGGTTTTTGAGGAAGAAGATTTATTTTATGCCTTTGTTTTCTTTAAAGGGAAAAGGAATGGTGAGTTGATGTCAATTAGAATATGTGTTTTTGTGTTGACGTTTTGCACGCTGTAAACTGAAATGCATTGTATATAAATTTTGCTGTAATTATTTTCATGCTGTAGTTGTTCTGTCTTCCTGTGTATAATGAGAAGTCTACACTTGATTTGCTGGTAGTCACAGATAAACAGATTATGTCAGATAAAATGTCAGCTTCTTCCACACTTATACTTCTTTACTGCAAAAATAACGGCTAAAGGGTTAAATCACTGTTGTCTTGGGCAGATTTGTTCCCAGTTGCAAGCTAAAGGATTTGAGGTAACACATAATGCCTGTCTGAGTCAGTAATGCATTATCGCCTGTTGCACAGTTAAGAAGCATCTGACTCTGGTTACTAGCACCTCTTACCCAAGCACTTGCTTCCATAATCAAGGGGATTATAATTGTCTTCTAAACAAAAGACTGAAATATTTCTAAACGGTGTTTGGTTTAAGATCTGTGGTTTGCTTTAAATGTAAATGTAATAAAGTGATCTCATACATGCACTGATACTAGACTCTTATCTGTCTGTTGTACCACGTCTTCCTGTTAGACGGGGTTCTGTCCTCTTAGAAACCATATACTTGACAAACCTGGGGAGAAGCAGTTGAAATGTTTAACTCCTGGATTATATTGAATTAGTCGTCATTTCATGTTCATGCCTCAAACTCGAGGATTTTGGAAGTGCTGAAACCATAAAATGGAATGTGGGCAAATCCCGTAGGTGGTCGGTAAGTCCTAGAGTCCTTCATGTCTCTCCAGCCAACGTAATGGCATTAATGAAGTGTCAAACACTAGCGGCTATATACAGAAATACAGTTCAGGAGGAAACTGTTAAAATGCTTCTTTGAATATTGTCCCCTTCTCTGTCCCTCTTACTAAAGCAGCTTTTCTGTGAAGCCATGAATGTTAGCTTGCTCCAGCTCCAAGCTTCTAGAAAAATGGGCCTGCGCTTGTTAATGTTGTGAATTTTGATGCAATGATTTTTTTGTGCATTTGCTCTGCTAACTGATCTTGACAAGTAATACCAATAGATACTTGGAGTTTATAACAAAATCCCAATAAAATTGGTACATTAGTCTCAATATGAAATATTGATTCTTCACTGGTAGTGTGGGAAGCTAATTTTAGTTGAAAAGTAACTTCTGACATGTTGATGTTGAATTTTATAGTTTTAGTGGTAGATCCGTTTAGTGTTGTGTTGGTGCTAAGGTATAGGCAGTGTGCTTTGGGGAGGAGTGTCCGAACACTGTCCTGTGTAAAGCAGCATTAGTTCTTCTTGTTCTTCAGTAGGTCATCCTGAATGACTGCAGTGGAGGTATTGCACTTGGCCAGAACCTGTAGATAGCTGCCTGCTGCCTTCACTTCCTACTGTCCCCTGAGTAGCCTGTACTTCAGAGCTCTGTCTTCTCCTAGCTAAGGCAAGTTTTGTCTCTCTCACTGCCCTGCAAAGGCTTTATAAAACCCCATCTCTAAAGCATATAATGCAATGATACAATTTGTTAGAGTAACTAAACCCCTCAAAATGAAGTACAGAATTTACACCTGATACGTTAAGGAGATCTGTAGGGTCACTAAAAAGTCCAAGTTACAGTGAGAAGCGAACAGTAGTGCGCTTTTTCTGCCACGTGAGGGGGTGAGCTACTTTTCAGGCTCTCTGACTTTTCAGGCTCATTGAGAAAGCTTATAATTAGTCATTGCTAATTTCCCGATTCTCTTGCAAATGGAAATTCCAACAAAAATGCAAATCTATTTTCCTTGTGGAGGACTCCTATTGGAGTCCCTTTTGGCATCCAATAGAGACACTCTGTGTGTTCTGGCATGACAACTCCAAACTGCATTTTTTATGCCTTGTGGAGTGTTTCAATAAATTTCCTTCTACTTTTCCTCAGTTCAGGTGCTTTCAAAATCTAAAGTAAAGTTCGTCAATTAGCCTAAGATATAATGTTTGCAACAATTAGATACTTAAAAAACAGTACCTAACCAGTATCTGGAGTGTATATTGATGTTAGCACCTTGCAATATTATGTAAGGCCCAAATTATTCAATCAGTAGTAATAGAAACTTGTTGTGCATATTGTATAACTTTTTTATTCTGTAAAATACATTTTTTCCTTCCTTCACTGAGATAGGCTGTCCACATGATAAAAAACAACTTTTGGATGCTGAGATGAATTTATTTGGAATTTACTACATTTCCATTTCACACTCTTTGCCCTTTCCCCCTTTCCAGATTGCTAGTAGGATCTGAGTGATCGCAGTTCTCAACATGAATATGAGATGTGATCCCAGGAAATACTCTTTGCATTGGCAACATTTTCCCAAGGATTTGTCCCTTAGAAATTGGACCGCTGTATCTGATGGGATGGATGCAGAGTAGTTTTACACAGAAGCCTGGCGAAAACAAGAGGAGGGAAAACATCAGATGACTGATGAAGCATTCGTTCTTCAGTACTAACTGTTTGAGAAATATTAGCATTTTCTATCTTGTCCTTTCCACTGAGAGAGCAATAGTGGAAATACCAAAATAGCAAAGACATTGGTCATAAAAAATAGAGATAGTGGTTGGAGTTGTTGGCTTGGTGGAAGAGGGAAGATGGGAGGCAGGGAGAAGGTGAGAATTCCTGCCTTCGTAAAGAGAAGAGCTCAAAGACAATTCTACAGAACTCGATTATTTGCGTTCTAACATAGGAGCAAAAAGTTCTGCATGTAAATGGATAGAAGATGCAGTGTTTCAAAACACGTACCGTAACCACTTGGCTAGCTGCAAGGCAATACATCCTATATGACCTCAAGACAAAGCAATATTAAATGAAAAACAGCTATTTACCTGATCCACTGATTTGGATTCCATCATCAATGGCATTTCCGTTGTGGAAGAATTTAATGGGTCCAGAGAGCTGGCCAGAAAAGGGAGCGTACACTGTTGCTCCGTCAGCACAGATGACATCC